GATGCCGGTAGGAATCTGGTGGCTTAGGCAATTCCTCATGCTGTAAATCTGTCAGCAATTAGTTGAAAGCGTACTCTAATCATATTTAGTAGCGTAAAAACGTAAATGAGCAAACTCAAATTGGTGCTATCAGTAATAATCTCCCGTTTCTAAAAATAACTTGGGAGTCGACCAAGCCCACATCAGCTGTCTCCTAATGAAACTGCCTCAGGAAGTGGACCTAAACTTGGCAAAGCCAGATCGCTTCCTGGAATGACCTTGAAATCCTTTATTTTTCTCCCTGCTTTTCAGGAAATAAAAGAAAAAAGAGAAAAAAACATTTTAACATAATGTGAGCCACAGGGTGGATAATTCTTAATATGAAGAGTCACAAGGTCTGAAAGTTCTGCTGGGTCTACGCCATACTCTCCTTGGTGAGAGCCAAAAAGATACTAGAGCCCAAAGACACTGTGTATTCATCCAAACAACAACACAAGCCCACCCCCAGCCACAGAGGGACCTGTAGTGACTTCTGGAGTGTCCACTTCTCTCAGTAATGCAGGCACAAACTTCAAGAAACCAGAGACATTATATATTAGGATGTTAACCCAAAACATCCAAATTCTGTTGCTTAGTAACTGATGTCAAAAGATCCAATTTCCAGCTCTGCTCTTTGTATAGACTAAACCATGAAAGGGGGAGGATTAGGCACCATCATTCTGTTCTGTGCAGACTACAATTTGCAGTGGGATTTACAGAAGGACATTCAAAGAAGATTATTTCTTTCTTGCAAAGCTAGTGGAAAGGAAAATTTCTTCCATTAATTTGCAACCCTTTAAAAACAAGACTTTATCATGTTATTAAAGGGTACCTTTTTAGAAATCATTGATATCTTAGCCTAATTTTGTTAAAAGATGTCTCCATAGTGGATTGTCTTATTTTCCCTCTGGACTGATCGGGGACTCAGAACAGCATCAGGATTAGGTAGGTCCAATAAAATTCAACTGCTTTGTTCTTACATTTATTTAATGTCACTGCCAGCAGTTGTGAAATTGATTGCTACGAGTATAGCCGTAAAAGTGAAAAATGGAATTAAATTAAGAAACGGAGTAAAGCCAAGGAAGCAAACAACATGGGAAGAGAAAAATCACTGGAAGTTCCAAAGGATCTGTATGGGACCTCTGGTCATGCCTCGACACGACAGAATAATACCGAACACTGGGCACCGTTGTGGAGTTTATTTATGGAGAGCTTGCTTGCACTGACCTACAGAGAAGGATTTACTAAGCAAATTAAGAGAAGTATAAGGTATAGTTTAAATTAATTGAAAATAAAGCTCAGCCTATTTGCTTCATTAATTTGTGACCAGGAAGCAATATTTCAATTATAATGAAATCTTAAAATATTCCGAGAGCAAGCTCAATGGCCCTCTCTATAGCAAACCCTTCACTAGTTGGTTTTAATGATCAAGCAGAATAAAAAAAATCTCGAATAAAAGTAACTAATCCAGCCCAGACTTCCTTAACATAAATTAATGTGTTATAATATTTCTGAGCTTCACAAACTACTGACACTGCATTTTGAAAAATCTTTTGTCATTAAAATGTAGCTGAAGAAAAAAATTAAATGACAGGGCAAATTGGTACAACTTTCTGAAGAGGGGGCGCAGCTTTATAAACCATTGGTATTTTTATAGAAGAGTTTTGACAGCAATAGGTATTCTAGACTTTTGAAAATGCTAATATCTTATACCTAGCAATACCAATTCTGAGGCTTTATCTTAAAGAAATAACCAGAAATGCATGCAGATTACTAACAATGGTACTTAATGTATAATTAATCATTCATTGTCATTTATTGAGCAGATATTTTATCCCTGACATTGGTTATATTTTGCCTAAATTACCATCTCATTTAATTTAATAACCCTATGAGGCAGTTATTAATATTATACCCTTTTTACAGATGGGAACACAGAGGTTATATATCCAGTCCAAAGTGTGGTGGAGCTGAGAGTCAAAGACAGATCTACTTGTACTCTAAGCCCAGCTTTCACTAGCACAGTATGATGCTACTCTAAGAAAAGTTTACAGAAGAAAACGGGAGAAAATAAAATCCAAAACTGGGTAGTTTTACAAAATATTATTCACATAATTCTGAAGGGAAAAAAATCCCTGGAAACAACAGAAATGACCAAAGAGAGAGGGAGAGAGAGAGAGTGACTAAATAGATATTATGCAACATTAATTTAACACAGTCCTGAAACCTACTGCCACCGAGTCAAGCCTGACTCATAGCATCCCTCTCTTCATAGGACCAGACAGTCTTATGCTTTCCTGACGAGTGACTGGCGAATCTGAACTGCTGACCTTGTTAGCAGCCCAAATGCTGCCCCACAGTAGTGATGATACATCTGAAACAAGGTCATGATCATCAGTGAAACGATCCAGGTTTCAGTCAGTATTTCTAGTGCCAGCTCTAATACAGAACGTGTATGTGTCTGGGGCAAGAAAAAAAAATTAAAGAATAAACACAAAAGATGTGTATTTTTATACTCTTCTATGTTCTTGTCTCTATTTTCTACATGTTTTGGTGATCAGGAAGAGCGACATGATTTTTTCTTAGGGGAAAATATTCTCACTAGAACGATGAAGCAGTCCAAGTTATGAGTGTGCAGGAAATAAAGAAATCAACAAATAAAACATCTTCCCATCCTTACACTAAAAATGAAGGAATGAAAACAGCAGTGGGAGGTAGACCAGAAACACAAAAGAAAGGCATTTACATTTCATTTTCAAAAACAACCTGGAAGCATCTTTAGACCGGTTTGAGCCCTCAGGCTTGTGCCAACCTATCATTAAGTAACAATGTGAAAACTATTTGCAGGGAAAGATTCTGCAATATTTCTAATATAATTCTAGGACACTTATGCTTCATTCCTCTCTGTTCCGTACCTTAGTTACAGGGAATAATATTTTTCCCCTCAAGGAAAACCAGAAAGTCTAATACGAATTTATGACACTGCTGAAGCAAAAATCCTATTTGGAACTTTAAGGCTGCACGGATGATGCAGACAGTGAATCATTAATGGAAACACTTTTGAATAAGCTTGTATAGACACCTATCTTTATATTCCTTAGCTTTCTACTCATCTAAAACTCTACCTTAAAAGGCTTCAACAAGTTAAAGATTAAATAATAAGTTATTAAGCCATTAATTTAACCATTTAAGCCTCTAAAATCAACACATAGTACCTTCCCCCTCAAGTCAATTTGCAAGAGATTAAAATAATAAAAATGATAATATCTCACACTTACAAAGCACCTTTGATCTGCAGAAGCCTAAAGAACTTTTAAAAAACTTTATAGGAAAACCAGGACCTTCCACCCACATCTCAGAGTACATCTGAGGTAGAGCCTGGCAGCTGGTGAAAAGCAATGGAGTAATTTACCATCTGCGTGGAAGACTACTACTTCTGAACAAGAGTGAGGAATGGATGTGTAGGGAAACGCAAATAGAATTAGCCATTCAATTAAATTGGAAACTTAATGGCTGCAGATGCCACGGGCTATTATTTAAATTTTCACCGGAGGAAGAAAACGACAGTGTTCTAAAGAGTTCCTTTAGAAGAAGCAAACAACAAACAGCAAAACAACTCCTGCCCTGCTCTAGGGAGTTACTGGTCCCAGATTTTTCTGGGAAAGACAGATACTACATGTTTCACCTTGCAAAACAGCAAAAAGCAGACTACAAGAGCCGTCATTCATTGTCTGACTGGCCACCTCTCCCTCCTTCCACAATCACAGAACAAGATCTTGACGTTCTGGTATGGATGGTTCGAATCCCTTCCTCCGTCCATTTCAGGTGCCTGACACAAGCCATTTTCAGTCTCCTGCACAAACAAGAGACTGATCCCTCAGGCTTGTTTTCTGGAGTCTGATTCTTTGGAATCTATTTTGCCTCTTCAGTCTCTTCCTCAAAGGAAACCCAAAGCACTTCTACCTATCATTGTCCAGGGAAGGTTAGGAATGAGGGTAAAAGAGTACTGGGAGCCATCTTTCAGGGGCAGGACCACTTTCAATTGTCAAGATTCCCTCCCCCTGATTCTGATTTGCCCACGCCGCTATGACTTGGTTCCTATTTATAGAAGATCAAGCTGATGAAAAGGATTCAGGTAAAAGCTATCTTTCAGCTGGATATACACTACAATTTCGCCAGTGCTGGGGGCATGCAGAATTATAGTATCAACGAAAAAGTGTCAAAATAGCCATTTAGATTCTTCACCATCAATTTCTGTTGCTGCTGCTGCTGCTGCTGCTTGTGTTGTTATTATTGTTGCTACTGTTGTTTGCTGTACTGCTGGTAGGAGCAGCGAACTACTGTCCCGGATGGATGGAGCTATTTGCCCGAATGTCAAAGAGATCGACTCCTTATTACAAAAAAAGAAAAGAAAAAGAAAAGAGATGGGCCCGAGGGTCTTAGGGCCTTGCAGCTCCAGGCGGCAGGCCTCGCTGGTTCTGGCGCTCACAGAGGGCTCAATGTGGTATGTGAAGCAGGTGAGCAGGGACACACGGAGAAGGACTGTCATCTAATGAACAGCAATCCTTTTGTCGGCATGGTTCAGAATATTTTCCCAAGGATACATACTCCCATTTCTGCTCTTTCCCAAACTATACAGTTAACTGGGTTGCCCCTGGGCCGCGTGGCTTTCTATATTAATGAGAGACTTTGAGGAGCAGTCCTGAATGAATGCTCCCCACTACCCAGACCCGTCACGATGATCTTTCTTTCTTTCAATCAAGTCGACACAAACGTAAGCAATGGAAGCTACTCTAATAAAAATGCTTTCCAAAATTATCCAAAGTAGGCATTGTCCCACCTGGCCCCCTTACCCCAATTTGGACGACAATTTCGTTCTGTTGGGAACACGGTTACCCTGGCTTTTCTAGAGACATGTACAAAGTTGTGCACGTATCCATTTGAGAGGCAGGAAACTAAACTGAAAGTCAAGCTCTCGATACCTTCTTCATAGCCTGACACTTGGCCGTCTCCGAAAAGCCAATCATCTTATCAGGAGAGCAGATCTTGATGAAGGGGAAGTTGGAATCCTCGGCGATCTTTGCCGCTAAGGCGGTCTTCCCGCTATGAGGAGGGCCTGCATCAAGAAAGGAGCACGTCAGGGGGAAAAAGCCAGCCTAGGCAAAGACAACGAAGACAAGTTTCAACTTTTCCCACCATGTTCTGAGGTCTCAACGAGTTGCTCATTAACATTTCCTGACAATTTCAAGGCAGACATGTTTTCGCTTATTAGCAACTACATGTAATGAACTGATTAGCATTTCATGAAAGTATGACTAAATACATTCTTCTCCACATAGCCTTCATCTTTTCAAGCTTCTGGTTAAATACAAAAAAATGTGAAGGCTTCTAAGAAAAGAAAAGGCAATCCATTCAAATGTGTATCAGTACTAACGTCATCCTATCAAGTCATCGATGTTATCCACACAGACTCGTCGTGGGAGATGCCATTGTGAGCAGGGGACGCGATCATCTCATTAGAAGCAAATGTGATCTAAAAAGCTGCCTTCATAGGATTTCTAGGAGGTTTAAGTGAGGTAATATGTACGCATAAAGTAGCAATATACTGCCCAGCACATAGTAAAGGTTCAAATTGTTGCTAATTATGATTAGTAATGAAAAATAATTATGATTAGTAATTAAGTCTTCTCGATTCTACCTCCTACTAGTTCTCAAATTGGTCTATTTATCATCCTTTCCACTATCACCAAGCTACCTCAAGCCACAATTAGCTCTCATTAAGACGAACACAAATGCTTTTCCTCAGAGGTCGCTCTTGTAGCTCTTTGCTCCTCCAATTCATTCTCTGTCAGAAAGTTGCTGGGATGACATTTTGAAAATACAATCAGATGGTGTCACTGCATTGCTTAAAAGCCTACACATGGCTTTCCATTGCCACTAAAATATTGTCCAGATGTTAACACGGCCCACAAAGCTGTGCATGAACCCACTCCGGTCCCACGGGTGTCCTCTCAGCTTCGAGCTACCCAGGGCTCTTCCCCATGCTAGCCCCCCTGCCTACAACGGCTTCCTAATCTCTTCGCTGGTCAGCTTCTCTTCTTCACCCAGGGCTTGGTGATGTGTTTCTCTCCGGGAGTTCCGGTTCCAGAGCTTTTGAAAGGGTTAGGTTCCCCTGTCACATGGGCTCAATGGACTTTCCTGCTTATTGTACTAATCACAACTATAAAGAAGTAATTTGTGTTTTGGGAATGATGAGGGCAACAAATGTATAGATGGACTCTACACAATTGATCTATGTATTGTGATGAATTTTATGAGCCCCAATAAATTGATTTAAAAAAACAACAAACAAAAAAAGAAAACATTTTGTGTGTAAAAACAATGACACGAAATGAAATGTTTTCATTGATACACAGTTCTTTGTAACTTCTGTACTTGTGAGAATGTCTGTGTTCTTGCTAGGTTCTGTTTCTGACAGATGATAACTAATAAATGATAAAGACATTAAAAAAAAAAAAAGAAGTAATTTGTGAGTGGACTACTCTTCCCTTTTCGACCACTAAGTAAAATCCTAACTGATCTTTTAAGGCCTAAATAAAACTAGCTTTCCCTGACCCTCCCCAGGCAAAATGACCTGCATTCACATATACCTTTACACACAGACAATGTAGTGAGACGCTGGCTTACAAGTTTGTTTTCATGAGCATCTTAAACTCTGTGAAAGAAAAGTCTTTGTATTCTCAGTACTTACTTCAATGTCTAAAACCCAGTAAATGCTTATTTAATTGATTGCATTTTACTTTTACGGCCACCTCATCACCCAGTCTCACCTTCCAGAAGGACACTAACCAACGGTGTACGGTCACTGTTTTTAGTCTGCTGAACCAGCAGCTCCCCGTCTTCTAGGACCCTAGTAACTGGATCACCCCACTTGATGATACCATTCATAATGTAGCTTGCATAATCCTCTTGGTTTGTGCCAAATGCCTGTTGATTAAAAACATAAGTGTGAGACAATGGAAAACATTTTGAACCTCATATTAAAAACTGAAAGTTTAAAAAGTATTATTAATGTGGAATCATTTCTTTACATTGGAAGCATTGAGCATTATTTGTCCCCCAAGCCAAGGTTTGAAGAGGGGCAGCAAGAATACCCATAATAACAACAAAAAGTTTTATAATTTTTCATTTCACCTTTTTCCTAATATGTTTTTAAAAGGGGGTGGGGTGGGGCTTTGGTTGAGCTGATGAGCTGGAAGCAGTAGATTCTAGGCTCAGATTATGCCTGAGCCCAAGCTTCTATCTTAAAACAGAGCCCTCATAATCCATGAGAAGAGTGTGTGTTCCAATGGGCTTGTTTTTATACAGAGCACATGAATTGTGGCCAATCTGTTAAGCGCAAAGAAAAAAGAGGCTAGGGACTTAGAAATTAGAAACCACTGGCTCAGCAGCTGGTGTTAACCTAATTAATACTGACTGTCGGGGCTACGGATCTTACTGGGAACAGGAAGTGGGAAGAGGAGGCTGTATCCACAGCAACTTGGTGCTGGAGGGTCTAAATAAAGCCCCATAAGGTAGAAATGTGCAGCTACAATGAAAGTGCTGACGGGTTAGGAAACAGGAATCATTCTGTGTTCCCCCCACACTGCAGCTGAAGTCAGGGTCCTCTTCATTTTAAGCTGGAACCTCAAATGATAACCTCCACCAAACCAATTGGCCCAAAGGGTCAATGACTAATGCTTAGCCCACTGTCTTGGAGATTCATAACGTTAATTGGGAGGGGCAGTGAATAAACAGAAAAACATAATCCAACATATGTGTACAGGTTGTGTATGTTGATCAAATCTTGAAAGGTGATCACATCCTTCAAGCAGTCAACGTGAGACTCCCTGAAGGACGCAGGGATTGTAACAGATCTGTGCTGCAGGGTTGCTGTGAGCTGGAAGGGCTCCGTGGAAGTGCGTTTGGTTCCATTCCACCAGCCACTTCCAGGAGGAGGAGGGAGCCACCTGCTTCTGTCAACTCTACGGGGCAGTGCTACTCTGTCCTAGAAGGTCGCTCTGAGTTGGCATAGACTCTGTGGCATTGGGTTTGGGGCTTTTTGTTGATTTATTTTAGAGCCTGCACCTCACACAGAAACTCGTTCTTGTCACTGAGTTGATTCCGACTCTGGAGCAGAACAGGGATGCACAGAGTGTTCAGGAAGTAGATTGCCCATCTTTCTTCCAAGGTACTTCTTCCAGGCGGGAGGGTGCAAATGCTCAATCTTTTCATTAGTTCCTGAGTGTGTAAACCATGACACCACACAGGGATGCCCATTTTAAGAATGCTGATGCATTTTTATGAAAGGGCCCTTAGGATATTTAAGCATCTTAGAAATGGTGCCAATTAGAAACAGCGGGGGGTGGGGGAGTATAGGTTTTTAGGAAAGCTAAGCATGGAACAATAAAATTTCTTAAATCATCAAAAACAACAACAGCAGAGTAAGTAAAAGGGTTGCTGAGGAAGATTTAGGGAAGGTATGAGCTTTAGAGAGAGGAGAAGATGACCGATGATATTAAATAATATAATAATAGGCATTGGGAGCATGAATTGCAGCACTTAGGTCTCCACAGCTTCGGGCTGCTTAAGACCAAATGGGGAAACTAGTTCAACATAAAGTAAGAGTGAACAATTAATAAGTCTCGAATATGAACAGGTGCTCCCCATCATGAAAGATATTTAGGTTAAGTATTAGTTAATCATCCACAATCGAGGACATTCTACAAATAAGCATAAATCTGAGGCTGGACACGTCCACTATTTGGATTTTCAGAAACTCTGTATGATATAACCTTCCACAATGTTGGGTAAAAGGCACTTCTTTTCCTCCAGCGTCACCTGATTTTTGTTCTGGCTTCACACCTCTCAACATGCACACTTACTGGTTTGATATCATTCTCCAAAGAAGCAAGGAAGTCTCCTCTCGTCACCTGCAGGCCCTCTGCTTTCTCCATGTCCACTTCCACTTTAGTACTGGCCTGGGGACAAGGAAAACAAAAGGAGTTTCATGATTTATTAATTACTCAACCCAAGGACTTGACTTTGTGTAAGGCGGTAACCAGTTAGAGAAGGCAATTCAAATTTATTTTTCAATTTAAAAAAGGGTGACTGCCCCCTGTCAAACACAGAAAACTTCCAAGACCTGGAAAAACAAGGCAGTCAGTCTAGTTCTGGTGCTCGTGGACTTCATCGCATATCCTGTGTCTGGATATTTCCACCTCTAGGAAGTTACCCTACAAAAGTACACACGGACAGACATACAAGGATATCTACTACAGTAATAAGCAACAGCAAAAGTCAAGAAGCAAATAAAAAATCTACCAGGAGGGAATGATTTAAGTAAATTCTGACTTAGTTCTTCCAAACAATACTCTGTAGCTATTTTTTTTTAAATGATGCATGAGTAGCAGAAAATGTGTCTAGGGAGTAGTCTTCTGCCTGGCTGCATATCAGGATCACCCCTAAAGCCTTTAAAAATACTGACGCCCAGTCGTAGCCCTTAAGAATTTTGATTTAACTGGTGGAGCAAAGGGCTCAGCATGTATCATTTTAGAAAGTGCCACAAGTGATTCTGATGCCCAACCACACTTGGGAACCACTACTGTGGGAGATGAAGGACCTCGAACTATGAGATATACTCATACTTTCTATCCATGCTGTGCTTGAGAATCTATGTGCCCAGCTCCAAACACTCTGCTTGCTGCACCTGGAGCCAATACTTAGAATAGACACCTGGAGACGCATCATCTAGGCCTCCATCAGCACTTGGAGCTGTCTGGGCCTGATGACTGATTGAGATGCCAATACATGTCTTAATGTGACTGGGCTCACTACCAATAACGCAAGTCAAGAGTCTGCTTTTTTAGTGGGCATCATGGCCTTATTAAATAAATAAATAAAAGGATAAAAGATATCTTCCCCCCAAAAAAGAGGCTTATAAAATATGTTAAACACATTTTAATCTTCCACTGATTCTGCTGAAATATGAGTCATGCTCCTTTAGAAACAAATGCGACAGGCACTTGTCGAAAGAGCCCCGCTGAGACAGTCGATCGAGGCGGCAGGCACCGTGTCTCCATCTCCCTTCCTTGCCTCAACTCCCATGAAATGACGGAAGTGAGGAAGACTCAAAGGTATGGAAGGCTATAGCCAGAAGTCGTACCACTGGATCTGATGGGTGTCTCAGAAGGAGAGAACAGAAACTGGAACAGAGGGAAAGCAGTAAGAGAAGAGAACACCGTTTCCCACGGGTAAAGAAAGGTAGGTCGCTGCCATTTAAAGGGTCCAACGAGTGCTGACTAGGAGAGATGAAAAGAAACCCACATCTGTGGAGACATAGTGTTGTCAACTTTCAGACCACCAAAGATGAAGAGAAAGTCCTAGAACCTCAGACAAAAACGGTTACCTGTAAAGAAACCAGAATAAACTGGCAAAGCTAGATACTAGAAGGCAACCAACACCATCCCTCAAAAATCCATCTGCACATCCAGCCAGGTAAAGACTTCCACAGCACACAGGGAGGCGTCTGCACACACTGTCACAGCAGTGTAACTTACGCTATTAGGCGCAATCAGAAATCACCTTTGTGTCATTCTACTTCCTGACATCTACAACGTACCAAGCACTGTTCTAAGTGAGACAGGCACAGTAGTGAATCAAACACACAAAGTCCCTGTCCTGGTGGAGCTTCTATTTTAAAATGTGTCATAACACTCTACAATGTTGTGCATTTGTTCAAAATAACCAAGAGGATCAGAACGCTCTCCAATACCTACAGCCAAGTAAAAACCATAGGATGCAGTACAGTGTATGTGGGAAACCCATTCATGCTCATTTAAAAATAAGAACACGTATGTAAAGAAAACAGATCACAGAGGCACAGCCTAAACACTGGCTGGCCCTGGGGAGTGAGCGGGCAGGACGTCAGAGACCGCCTTCCTTGCTTGCCCATGATATTTTTGTGTCTTTGAATCTTTTACAAAGCGAATGTCTTCACATATGACATCTACCCTTACTTTTAAAAACAGAGGAATAAGTAACAGTCAAATACATAAATATTTTACTTGAACACATAGAAAAATTAGCATTTACACTATTAATAAGGTTTTAATTGGTACATATTAGATATTTGATAAGTATCAATCACATTTGATATTTTCAAGTTAAAAAAGGAAAAAATAAAATTGTGTCAGAAAACATATACGAACCATGAATATACACATTTGTACAATGCCTTATAGTTTATAAAGCATAAACCCCCAAACTTATTTTGTCTACCACCCCACCTTTTCAGAGAAAAAAATGACTCAGCACCCTCTGGGCAATTAAAAACTTTTGCGTTACAGCCCATAATTCAGAATTAAGTATAGGTATCTGCTTTTGCAGCCTCCTGGATCTTGCCAGCACTCCCAGGGGGTGGTCTCACCCACTTTGGGAAGAGCTGGCGCAAAGTTTACTGATACAGTGCAAAGTACAGTGTATATGGCACATACATGTACCAGCTGCCATTAGGGCAATTTTAACTCCTGGTGACCCTGTGTCACGGTACAGTTTTAATGTGCTCCACAGGGGGTTTAATGGCTGTTTTTTTGGAAGTAGGTCACCAAACTTTCAGTTAGAAGCCTCATGTTAACTGCTTGTCCACTCAGGAATGCAGTATATAGACGCTTTGGTGGTTGCAATGTTAAAATCCTCCGCTTGGTAATCAAAAGGCCAGCAGTTCAAACCCCAAAGCAGCCCGACTCCGTGGGAGAAAAGACATAGCGACCTGCTCCCATCAGGATCACAGCCCAGGACACACCTTGTGGCACAGTCCTGTTCTGCCCTATTAGTTACGCAGTAGGGACTGACTCCCGGACCCACGACAACATATCACTGCAGATGTGTTTACCTCTAGCATCTCAACCCATCTGTTAGCAGTCAATATGGAGGTTCTTTCCCGGGCACCTTGAATAAGGCTTGTAATTCTATGAAGAACTTTCCCCTACTTCAGAAAGGCTTGGAGGACGCAAAGTCTCAGGTGAAGCGAAGGGTACCGTGACAAAATCATATTGAGGTGCCAATGAAGCTGCCCCGGCTATCTTTTAAATACGCCCCTGCCCCCATGCAAACTTGAGCTTTTCACTATTTTAGTTTGTATTTTGATCTGCCCTGACAGTAAAACTTACTCCGAAGTCAGAAATCTAGAAGTACTGTGAAGGAGAACAATTGTCCAACTTTCAACATTCACCAAGAAAATAGGACAAATTCCAGGGCTGAAGCTGGGGGACTAATTATTACACGTTGTTGTTTTACTAATTATTACCAAAGTCACCCAATGAATGAGAAGTAAATGAAGGCCAGACAGTTCTTTTACATTAAGTTGGCTTTAGGCACGCCAAGAGTTGAAAAAGTGATTGATTTATATCCATATTGTCAATATTCCAATAGGAAACTATTTCTATCTGTTCATTAAAACAAGTTTAAGGATTTCTTTTAGGCAACATTTACTATTTTATAAAAAATCTCACAATTTTATTTAAAAATTTTCTCATTTGTCCTTATTTATGAGATTTCCTCCCTGTATTTTATTTATACCAGCTAATCAATATAAGAGGCAGCATCTTTCAGCTTCTACCTGCAGAAAGTAATAAACTCATATTTCAACACCAGCAAATACCAAGTGGTCACCCTTAAATTTCATAACCTTTTAAAGCTGACCTTTCAGAGTTCTTATCATTCCTCCTAAATGAAGGGCAGACCGACCTCAATCAATGAAAAACCTAAGAGAACGTAAGAAATGGTTTTATTGAAATTCTGCAAACACATCTCAGAGTTTGGGTTCAACTGTAACTTGTGTATAAGTGCGTGCCTCCTTTCTGCATTGGTTTAGAACAGAAGATTACAACACAAGAAATGTGGGCTCTGAAGCTTCTACACCTGAAGCAGAAATTCCTTTCAAGATAAAAACCACCAGATGTCACATGAATTTTAGTTGACCACCAACATGGGTTCAAGTTCATAGGGCATGAACATAAGGGCTTTGTGGCTGGATTTGCTCTACTTGTTTCAGAAAATTTTGAAGAAAAAAGAAACCAATACTTTATCAGAAGAGTCTTTTTTTTCTTCATTAAACTTTGTTTTAGTGGGTGAAGGGAGACGTCGGACAGTGTAAGGCATGACAAAATAATAATTTATAAATTATCAAGGGTTCATTGGGTGGGGGCAGGGAAAATGAATACCAAGTGCTCAAGAAGAAAGCAAATGTTTTGAGAATGATGAGGGCAATAAATGTACAAATGTGCTTGACACGATGTATGTATGTATGGATTGTGATAAGAGTTGTATGAACCCCCAATAAAATGATTTAAAAAACAAAACAAAAACCAAGTTTGTTTTAATGGGTCTCAAAATTCAGTGACACATTTTTTTGGCCAAGTTGTTTTCCATTTAAAAAGTATTATTTTTAATAACTGATACTTAAAAACACACAAAAGAAACAGATGGTGCACAAAATGGTCTCTTCCTTCTGAAAATTTTACGATGCACTGTTATTAACTAGTATTTTATTATTAAACTTAAACGGCCAACTGAGGCAAAACAGTTCTGAGACCGTTCTTCCACCACTGATTAAGACTGGGGTGCAGGTGGTCTGGGTAATACTCAGTTTTGAGTATTACCTTCTGAGCAGATGGGGTGACCCTGCCAGCAACTGCAGCCCTTTTACCCACTGCCTTGAGGACACCCACTGCAACGGTCTGTCAGTCTCCTATCAGGACAGCGAAATGACCCAGCGGAGGCTCGTCAGAGAAGTTCTCCACACACATGGGCTAGTCAGGAGCCATAACAGCAAAGTCTTGTGTTGTCTGTCCACTTGACTTTGTCTAGGCCTTTTTGCAAATCTTTTGAGAACGCACTAAAAGCAAAATGAATGGCTTTTTTCAGAATGAAGGACATCTGAATGTTCTAAAGTTCTACACCAACTTTATTTATTTCAAAC